TGTCTATGTATCTGCATGTGTGTGAGTGTTTGTATCTGTATCTCTGTATCTGTGTGAGTGTCATTGCTTGGAACTGTGTGTGTCTGTACATCTGTATATGTGTCAGTGTGTGTCTGTGCAACTGTATGTGTGTCAATGTTTGTATCTTTGAATCTGTCCATCAGTATAATTGTTTGTATTTGTGTCTTTGTGTGATTATTTGTATTTGCATGTGTGTCAGTGTGTCATATCTTGCATTTGTGAGTGTGTCATATCTTGCATTTGTGTGTCTGTACATCTGTATGTGTGTCAGTGTGTGGATCAGTGTCTGTGTTATTTTGTGTGTTTGTATCTATATCGGTGTTTGTATCTGTGTATCTGCACATGTGTCAGTTTATGTGTCTGTGTATCTGCATTTATTTCAATGTGTCTATCTGCACAGTGAGAAGCAGGGGGAGCTTGGAGAAGCAGGGAGAGCCTGGGGCAGAGGAGGAGCAGGAAGAGCCTGGGGTAGAGGAGGAGCGGGGAGAGCCTGGGGTAGAGGAGGACCAGGGAGAGCCTGGGGCTGAGGAGGAGCAGGGAGAGCGTAGGGCAGAGAAGCAGGGAGAGCCTAGGACAGAGGAGAAGCATTGCATGGGGCAGAGGAGAAGGAGAGGGAGCCTGGGACAGAAAAACAGGGAAATCCGGGGCTGAGGAGGAACAGGGAGAGCCTGGGGCAGAGGGGGCATGGGGCAGAGGTTAAGTAGAGCGAGCCTGAGGCAGAAAAACAGGGGAGTGTGGGGCAGAGAAAAGCATATAAATTTGAAATAACAGCAACTATATTAATGACAAACATTTTGCTAATAAGGGGTACAATTTATGAAAATGTTCTGCCAAGGGGTACTTAGGTGAAAAAAGTTTGGGAACCACTGCTCGAGATGTTTTACCAACATATTGGAAACTGCAGCGACATCTTATCAAATATATGAAGTTTTTTTGTACTGCAGGCAATAAAGGATTTAATGCTATACTCTTTTTTAGTCTTAAATGATGTGAATTTCTGTACACATTTATTATTTTTATTGTGATCTCTTACAGTACAACCTCTTCTAAATATTTTTTTGCAAGCTGAAGCTTTCTACAGAAATTAAAAATCAACGGGATCTCTTTTTCTTTATTATCTTTTTGCGGTCTGACTTTATATATCAGAAGATCCTGTTTCGGTTTCGTTTCCACTTCCTCACATACATTTTGTATTTCAGTGGGATCATATCCCTTATCTGTAAATTGCTTCTTTAAAATGAATGCTTTATATTGATTTAACTCCAAACAATTACGTTTCAATCTTAAAAATGGGCCACTTGGGTCTTGGCCCTTCAGCCACTTTCCTGAATCCAGCGCTGATGTCCCTCGGTGCTGGGTCAGGCTCCGCCCATGCTCCTTCTTCGCCGATAGCAGCCAACGGGGGAGGCCTAATGGCCATGCATGGCAATGGCCGCGCGCACATTAGACCTCCCCATAGGATAGCATTATTCAATGCTTTCCTATCGGGAACATCTGACGCTGAAGGTCCGGTCTTGCCGCGCATGCGCATTCAGCCGATGACGGGAAAAGAAGGAGGAGAGTCCCCACCGCCGAGGGAGCCCGGCAGGGGAAGAAAGGTAAGATTTAACCCCTCCCACCCACTAGAGCCCGGCGGAGAAGGACCCTGAGTGTGGGGGGGACCTAGACACCCTATAGTGCCAGGAAAACGAGTATGTTTTCCTGGCACTATAGTGGTCCTGTAAGGGAAAAAGGGTCTCTGCACCCAGACTACTTAAATTAGCTGAAGTGGTCTGGGTGCCTACAGTGTCCCTTAACCCTGTAACTGTCGAAAACACCCATAAAACCTGTACAATGAGACATTGTTTATTAGGCAGACTAGATGGGCTGAATGGTTCTTATCTGCCGTCACATTCTATATTGCTGAATACAAATATGTGTGTTTAATTGCAGTAAAAACTAACACTTCACAGTTAAAATGTCATGCCAAACTTGAAAAATAACAACATTTCTTAATTTCTCAGATTTTTTTTCATATTAAGTTATGTTTCATAGATGAATATTAGATGTGAAATGAAAGCCCTGGGTTACCTGAACAAAATTGTGTATAATAAGTGTAAGTGCACTTAATATGAAAGAGGTGAATTATGGTTGAATAAATGTAGAGCGTAAATTCCAGGTTTTGTTGTGATTAGAACTTTTACAATTGAATCCTTTATTTAAGGGGTTAAATATTACATATCTTCCAACTGTCAAATATTTGGTATGACGACCCCAAATTCAGGCTCTTCCAAACTAAACAGATTAAATTTTTTTAACCTTTCTTCATAACTAAAATACTCCATTCCTTTTAGCAATTTTGTAGCTCGTCTCTGGACCCTCTCCAGTGCCATGATATCCTTCATTAGAACAGGCGCCCAAAATTGCACAGCATATTCAAGGTGTGGTCTTACCAGCGATTTATAAAGAGGCAGAATTATATTTTCATCCCGAGAATTTATGCCCCTATTTATACATGACAAAATCTTACTGGCCTTAGCAACTGCAGATTGACATTGCATATTGCTGCCTAATTTGTTGTCTATAACAATTCCCAAATCCTTCTCGTGTGTGGTTATCCCTAATTCACTACCATTTAGTGTGTAAGTTGCTTGTGCATTCTTAACCCCGAAGTGCATAACTTTGCATTTGTCTATGTTAAATTTCATCTGCCATTTTAGTGCCCAGTCCCCAAATCTATCCAAATCTCTCTGCAGCAAAGCAATATCCTGCTCACATTTTATTACTTTACAAAGTTTTGTGTCTTCTGCAAACACTGATACATGGCTTTCAATGCCTATTTCAAGATAATTTATAAATATGTTAAATAGAAGTGGTCCCAAAACAGAACCCTGAGGGACACCACTTACCACTTTTGTCCAGCCTGAAAATTTACCATTAATTACAACTCGTTGTACTCTATCCTTAAGCCAATGTTCTACCCAAGAACAAGAATATTCATCTAGACCAATTTCTTTTAGTTTGAAGACTAACCTATTGTGAGGAACCGTATCAAATGCCTTGGTAAAATCCAAGTAGATCACATCCACTACAACACCCTGATCTATACCTTTACGTACTTCTTCGTAGAATGCAATTAGGTTAGTTTCACATGACCGATGTTTCATAAAACCATGCTGATTATTGCTAATAACAAAGTTCTTCCCAATGAATTCCTGAATATTATCCCTTAATAGCCCTTCAAATATTTTCCCAGTTACAGAAGTTAAGCTCACAGGTCTATAATTTCCAGGCAAGGATTTTGAACCCTTTTTAAATATAGGAACAACATCTGCCTTCCTCCAATCCTCCGGTACAACACCTGAAACAAAAGAATCTTGAAAAATTAAATACAGAGGTTCACTTATTTCCCCACTTAGCTCCTTAAGTACTCGTGGGTGAATACCATCAGGCTCTGGAGCTTTATTTACATTAATTTTCTTTAATAGCTGTAGCACCTTGTCTCGAGTTATCCAGTCACAAGTTATTTGCAAGTTTTTTGCAGCAATCATTTGCATATCTCTTGCCATAGGATCCTCATTAATATATACTGAAGAAAAATAGTTATTTTAAATTTCTGCTTTTTCCTGTCTCTGCTCTATCCTCTATCCTGGATCTTGTAACTCTCATATTAAGAGATACAATATTAGAAGGGAGGTTTATAAAAAAAAAAAGAAATTGTACATTATAACGAGAGGTGCCCAAAGATTATAAAGAATATATCAAGTTTCTAAGATGCCATGGGTGAAACAGTGAAATAATTTTTTTTAGAAATAATACATAGTTACATAGCTGAAAAGAGACTTGCATCCATCAAGTTCAGCCTACCTCACATTTGTTTTTTGCTGTTGATCCAAAAGAAGACAAAAAAACCCAGTTTGAAGCACAATTTTGCAACAAGCTAGGAAAAAAATTCCTTCTTGACCCCAGAATGGCAGTCAGATTTATCCTTGGATCAAGCAGTTATTACCCTACATTGAAAGATTATATCCTTGAATATTCTGTTCTTGCAAGTATGCATCTAAATGGACACATATGGGTACATACAAATAATCTGTTTTGTTTTTTTGTTTTTTGGAGTACAGTATCACAAAATAACAACAGAGAGTAAACATTATGCCTGTATGTATTCACCTAAAGCCTGTTAGTAAAGATGTACCCATTTTAAATTTGTGGCTCCTTTGTGCCAGCATTTACAAGCTGATATAGAATAAAAAATGATTGAAACAGAAAGGAAACCTTTATCTTTCACTACTTTTAAAATATGTTTTGGGGTACACAGTTGTTATGCATATAGTGTGGGTAATTTCCAAAGTGTGCATTGAAA